CACCTATGGCACCATTTAAATATAAACATGGACATCCTTATTCTACTGCCTGTTCCACATCAGTGTCCACAGTTTTGGAAATACAGTCTGTTGTGTTTATGTTATCCTGCTGCTTTTGTTTTGTTATAAATACAGCACCCACAAATTAGCCCTCACTGTGCACGGTCACTGTCATTTCACCCATTGGTATCTTAAAAGTGTTATGATCCTGAGCTGAACAGCAGATTTATTCATGCAGTGTGAAGAAATGAAAGATTTCCTTTTCTTATTTTGTTTTCTCAGACAGAAAATCCTAACAATGAAAGGCCATACACATTCAAGGATTTTCTGCTTCACCCACGAAGGTTGGCATGATTTCATGGTTATTTAATCTTTTGTCTTTCTCTGTTTTACATTCCATTTCCCATATATTGGCTCACTCATTTATTATTATTTTTTAGCATTTTGGATATTTATTTCTTCCACTAAAAACAAAGAAAACAAAACAATTATTTATTTACGTTTTTGCCATTCCCACACAGTCACAAGTCCAGAGTTAAAGGTCATCTGCGTCTAAAAATGACCTACCTGCCAAAAAACCCAGGTTCAGAGGAGGAAACTGCAGATCAGACTGAGGACAACGATGTAAGTTTATGCTTAGTGTTACGAATGCTTTTGTGTTAGCAGTGCTTCCATTTGTTCAACATGAGTGTCAGGTCAGTTAGTAGTTGGTGCTGAATTTAAGTCCTTGCACTCGCTTTTATTTTTTATTTTTTTTTATTTTCAACATTATGTTTATTAAAGTTTTACATATATACATATATAAAGTACATACACAAACAAATTTACACAATAAACGAAACACAAGGTACATTCAATGAAAGCACTTGAGTCCATGAGACCTCAACAGATTTTAAAGAATAATTTTCAGATTGCAGCATATGGTTGTGGTCCTGTACAGGGAATAGCTAGGCTGTCCCTGTCTCACACAGTAAACCAGATAGATCTTTATTCCCAATATACTGGATGTAGCGCCCCCAAATTTTCTGGAAAATTTCTTGTTTATCTTCTAGAGTATATGTAATTTTCTCTAATGGTAAACATAAAGACAATTCTTTGTACCAATGTGAAATACTTGGTTTGCCAAGACTCCTCCACGTTAGAGCTATCACTCTCTTTGCTTGTAGTATTCCCATGTTTATGAAGATTTTTTTCAAAATGATCTATGTTACACCCTACAGGATATAATCCCAGTAGGAAAAGTTTGGGATCCATCACAAGTTTAATTGACAAAATCTCCTTTATCATTGCTCCAACCTCTTCCCAAAACTCCTTTATTTTTGGACATGACCATAAACAGTGGAGCAATGTGCCCTTATCTTCTTCACATCTATTACAGATATCAGGAATCTGCATATTAAATTTGTTAAGTTTTTCTGGTGTTATGTACACTCTCATCAACCAATTAAATTGTAGCAATTTTAGACGTGTGTTCCCTGTCTGTGTTTGGGCTAGCTTACATGCTCTACTCCATTGTTCCACTGTCAAGTCCTCCTGTAAGTCATACCTCCAAGCTTCAAGCTTAGCAGCAGATGAATCAGGAGAGGATGTCATCATCAAGTTATATAATTCAGATATCATCCCTCTACCACTGGGGTTTTTGGTTAGGATTTTTTGCACTCGCTTTTAAAGCATCACACGAAAATGTTTGCATTAATTTGCATCTTTAATTGTAAGGAGTGAACCAGAATCTGTGTTTTTATTACTATTAATGTACATATGATATGACTAAGCTGCATAATTTCAAATTTATGCTATAGGTGTATCTGCTAGGAGGCTGAGGGGTGGCACTGCAGCCCGTCAGTATGTTTCAGCATGATGACAATCCCAAACACACTGTCAATGCAAAAAAAAAAAAAAGCATACCTACACAAGAAGACACACAATGACACTTTCAGTCATGAATTTGCCTCCCCAGGGCTCAGACCCTCAACACTATAGAGGCAGTGTGGGATCATGCTGACAGACAACAGAACAAAAGACAGGCAACATCCAAAGAAGAGCTTTGAATGACTTTCAAGAACTACTCCTGAAGGCTACTTACAGAAATTATCCTAACTCTTGGCTAAGAGAGTTCAGGCTGTGTTGAAGAATAAAGGGGCAGGGTTATACAATTATTGACTTTCAGGCTCATTAAAATTGTACAAACTCTGTTTCTTTTATATTTGTACATTTCAATAAATCAGTGCACCAGTTTCCCATTTTTCTCAGCAAAAGATGAAGAAATGAGGGGTGATTTAAGACTTTTGAACAGTATTGTAAATTAACATTTAGATTTAGATTAACTTAAATCTTAACACTGCGAAGTTATTAAACTGTTATGGCTCGTTTTGACAAGCTGGGTCACATTGAGATCCCAGCTATAACCTTGGCCTTGTCACCTGGTTTTCAGCGTTAGGTACAAAATAGCTTGTGGTTCATCTCCTTACTGACAGATCAAAGCACAAGTCAGAGTGTCAGGTGTATAAATCTCTTACATATACACACACGATACTGCACATCCATGATCCACTTTCTCTAAATCTCAGTCATTGTGAACTGTATTGTGTGTGTGCACCAACGTGATTTCCACCCTCATCTTTAGTCATGAATGGATGTACACACTCCCTTACTTTGTTTGCATATAAATTCACTGTTTGCACCACAAAAATTGGGAGTGGAATTTATAGAAAGGAAATGACAAAGCGTGAGCGTGTGTGAAACTGAGACAGTCATCTGAGAAATGTAGGAAATAAGAATCCCGAATACAAAAAACTATTCAAAGAAAAGGGTAAAGTAGGCCTTCAAGGCCAAAGCAACCATTATGCATAGCTGCAGCTATTTGCATGCCACTCACAGTTACCAAGAACAGTAATAGTAAGGTACCAGATAAAGTTTAGTACACACAAAGTTATTTGCACTGAACTTTGTATATAGTAACTTGTACATATTAATATCAGTAGCTGTGTTTGTAAATGTGAAAAAGCTCTGTGAAAATGGCCGTTTAATTTTATTTTCCAGTAAGGCGAGACTTTTTTTTTTTATCTCCAGTTTTCCATATGTACAGCTTAGTTTAGTTCTTTAGCATTTCAAAATGATGTCCTCCTTGTTTAACAGCCTGGTTGGGAGCTTCTGGAGACACATGATATGTCAGGTCCCAGACAAAACCAGATCCTGCCTCCTCTTCCTCCTGGCTGGGAGGAGAGGCAAGATAATCTGGGAAGGATCTACTATGTTAATCATGAAACCAGAACCACACAATGGCAACGGCCCACCACGCAGTAAGATGGCTCCCATATCCTATAAAAAAATTAATTTAAAAAACCCTTTTGATGCATTTCATTAGTGAGAATCTAAGTGTCTGTCTCCCCCTGAACAGAGACGGCAATTTGGAAGTTCAACGAAGACATAACAGTAATACGGATGCGGCGCATGTTTTCATAACACGCAGACAGATCTCAGAACATGAGGATAGCACGCAAGAGTCTCCAGAGGTAACTCTTTCATTTTTTGTTCCCTGTTTCCTTGTTATGTCCCAGGATTTCTGATAATGTTGATAAAATTAGAGAACAAGTTTCATGGTTTAACACTTGAGTCCAACCCTTTCATAATGCTGTTTTTGCTGCAAAAACTTCGAAACCCACCCAACTCTGCAGTACTTGCTTAGCACCAAACATCCAACATAAACGTGGTTAGCATCTAGCTGGTTAACACAGTAGCAAAGGAGTCTGCTGCTTGCCTCAGGATATAGTCTATAGCAGTCTGTTAGGAATAATCAGAAATATTGCTGATGCTGCCTTCTCAGTGATGTTCTGCTTGGAAATATATTTAGTACATAAATGTAATCTTAGGCTCCTTTTGCCTTCAGACCTGCCTTAATTTCTTTATTGTAAAGATTTAACAAGGTGCTGGAAGGATTCCTCTGAGATTTTAGTCCATGTCGACATGATAGCATCACACAGTTGCTGTGCATCTATGATGTGAATCTCTCGTTCCACCACATCCCAAAGATGCTCAATTGGATTGAGATGCGATGTGCTGAAGGCCATGTTATGACAGTGAACTTTCTGTCAGGTTCAAGAAACCCTTACTGAGAGGATTTGAGTTTTTGGAGGATGGATACACCGTGGTCATAAAGGAATGGACATGGTGAGCAGCAATAGTTAGGGAAACTGTGGGGTTTAAATGGTGCTCATTTAGTTCCCAAGGGGCCCAAAGGTTTGTAAGAAAGCATCACCCACACCACCTCCAGTATTATATAAGGCAGAATGGATTCATGCTTTCATGTTGATGCCAAATTGTGACCCTGTGATGTGAATGTCGCAGCAGAAATCAAGAGTCTCTGGAGCAAGCAACATTTTCCCAATTTTCTATTGTCCAATCTGGTGAGCCTGTGTGAACTGTAGCCTCAGTTTCCTGTTCTTAGTTGACAGGAATGGCATCCGGTGGGGTTTACGGCTGCTGTCGCCCATCTGCTTTGAGGTTTGGAGCAGTTGTTTTGCATTCAGAGATGGTCTTCTCTTAAAATCCTAGTACATCAGCAGTTTCTCAAATATTAAGACCAGCCCGTCTAGCCCCAACAAGCATGCTGCATTCATAGTCAGTGAATTCACCTTTCCTCCCCATTCTGATGCTCAGATTGAACTCAGATGGACACTGTGCATTTTCAAAATTAGTGCAGGACATGATCTTAATTAATCCTTTTTAATAGTGATACAAACTGTTGCAGTGTTGCAAAGACATGCAATGGTACAATTAAGCTCAACTTTGACCTATGGAGGAAAATGGCAACAAAGGGCATTGCTCACGTGAGCAGGGCTAATCCAAAACAATATCAGTAGAAGGTTCAACAAGAGTAAAACACAGGGCATCTGGAAAGAACCATGAGGCACCTGAGAAGGATGCAGGATGTGGGTACCAGGAAAAACAAGAGAAGACTGTAAATACACAGGTGTGATTGAACACAGGTGAAACTGATGGGGGTGGAGCAAAGGGAGTCGGTGGAGAAAAGGACAAAGACAGGAAGTACTGATTAAGTAGCTCTTAAAAAAGATTATAGAGCCCGATTCATTTGATTTTTATGTATATATTAAGTTAATTCTATCATGTGCAGGCTTACAGGCTTGTAAAAAAAAAAAAAGGTTAACTGCACAGGGATGTTTTTAAAACCTGCTTTAAGGTTTATCAGTTTTAACACAGCCTAAGCAAAGCAGACGTCATGCGTCGGGCTCGTCTTCTCAATCCGCTGTATATTTAAACAAAGAAGTTCAGATCTTTGTCATACTACCTCTGACAGCCCTGCACTGCTGTTGCTTCATTGGAGTCTCCTCTCTGTCATCATGTAGAGCTGGGAGATCATTACAGAGGATGATTCCACCCAGTACCACAGTAGTAACCAGCTCAGATCACCTTCACCCCGCACCCCAGTGGAGTTCCACTCAGTGTGCGATGAAATGAGGATCGTTAACATCGCTGCCGCAGCTGGCGAGCAGCGCCCCTCCCAGATCGTGAGTTATGTTCTGTGTCGCTTGAGGTTTGACTTACTGAAAGCAGAGGGGGGGAGTAGGCTCGTAATCATATAAATGTGAGCTGAGAGTGGGAGAGTGGTGGAAAATTTATGCACATTAATGGCCAAGTAGTCATCAGAGTCATCCTTCCGCTCTCCTGCAGGATCACAGCAGTAATTCAAGGCATTCCAGTCGCAGAGGAAGTGCCCAGACCTCAACAGGAGAGGAACATCCTGCTAATCCTGTGGTGAGTGTTTTGCTCTCTGTTGAAAATGTTCTTACATCTGAATGCTTCAGTCTTTATGAGTTCACTTTTCAATCATCTTAGACTGTCACAGTTCCTGTGGAGGGACATTTAAGGAATACAGCATTGCTAACTGCGTTATAGATTTCTATGTGGAATATTGCATTTGCTAGAGTTTGTCTGTTTGCTAGATTCACAATTAATAATCTGTATCACGATTATTCCCACAGGTTAGTCATTTGACCACTTATACTATTTTTGTGCATACAAAAAACTTGTCACTCCAGATCAAATCTGAAATGCCTTCTCATGAATCGCTGCATCTTGTTTTCCCTCTTTTGCTGAAAGCTCTGATTGCTGATTTGTGTCTGTTGCTGTTGGTCCAGGTGTTGTTGTTTTTAGTCCACCGTGCTGTCTTTTATAGAAATTATTACCAGTCATGCTTTTGATTTGTTCATGTGCATTAGAAAGTTTAGAATTCGAGTTTCTATATTTTATTTTGAAAGTTCAGTCCTTTGTAATCAGCCCATCTTATCTTCCCTTAGTGTCACAAGCCTGAGTCACACAGGCCTAGAGAGCAGTCAGCAATCCCTGCCAGTCATGATTGATTTAGTAAATATGTTTATTGAGTTATCTTTTTCCTGTTTGTGTCAGACTTTCTAGTTTCATTACTAGTGAGCAGTTGGTGAGTGTTTGCATATGTTTGGCATCTTCCATACAAATTTTGGACTACTCCAGTAATCTGCTAGCAACCAAATCAATCACAAGAGGGTTTCTGACCCAGCACTACTAGTCCCTGACCTCTGTGTGAGGTAGCTGTCACAACAGTCCTGTTATTCAGCCAGTGAGTCTCTCATCCTGTGATGGGCCTCATCAATGTGGCATCTTGGACTGCAGTTGGTGGTCATAGGCTCTTCAGCCTCTGAGCTTGGAGTAATAAGGCTCCACACGAAGTAGTCAGACCACAACGGAACCTGGCCAACAAACTGGACAGGATACATTAATAATAATCCATTTGCATAGAGTGCCTTATAATGACTGTCTGTATGATTATGGTGGAAATTATATCATATGCCAAATTATTGTCCTTGAATTATCGTCTTGAGAATGTATTTACTTATTTTTAATTTGACAGCTGCTTCCAACCTCAACTGGGTTACCTCCAGGCTGGGAGGAAAAGCGAGATAGTAAAGGAAGACGCTACTTTATCAACCACAACAACCGAACCACTACATGGACACGACCTCTCGTGCAGGTACTTCAGCATTCATATCTTTTTATTCACATTCTGCATAGAAACCTTTGTTAAACCCTGGGTTGTTTTTTTTTTATTAGATTAAAGCTCTAAAATAGCACTGTTCTGTCAATTTTCCCCTTCAGTGTGTCTGTTCTCGATTTAGAATCTCACTGGAGTCTTTTTATTTGTACAGAGAACTTCAGAGGCAGCACCAGCACCATCAGCACCGTCAGCAGCAGCAGCAGCAGCAGCAGCGGCACAGAGTAGTGCAGGCTTATCACAAAGCCCTACACCACCCCAACCATCAGCAGCAACAGAGGAGTCTCCTCAGCACACTCCAAGCCCCGAGGCCACGCGAGAATCTGGCTTCCTGCCGCTCGGTTGGGAAGTTCGCAGTGCACCCAATGGAAGGCCGTTTTTCATCGACCACACTACCAAGACAACTACCTGGGTGAGAAGATTGCAGCCAAAGGCTTTGAATGCACCTGTGTGTCCAATTCAGAAAAACTAGACTGGGTTTCAGTTATTTAGTTGACTTTTTTTCTAATCTGTGCCACAAAGAAAGTGAATTTCCAAGCTGTAACTCACCACCATCTCTTGTGTGAGGATTTCCTCTCTGACTGAAACACACCCTGCTTGTTTTTCTCTGAACAGGAAGATCCCAGGATAAGGATTCCTGTACAAATGAGGAGGAGATCCTCGCTTGATCCTTCCGATCTTGGCCCTCTGCCGGTAAGTTCAGTAACAAGATGCAACACAGGCATCAACTTTTGAGGATTACCTATCAGGGGAAAAAGCCTGCTAGCCAAAACATTAAGACCACCATGCGTAGTGAAGTCCAGTCCACTTGCGCCACCAACGCATCTTTAAATCTTCAAAATAGGGGACTGAGACATTGGCAAAGGAAACTTTTAAAGTCCAGTGTTTTTCAAGGTTGCTGAGTCTCTCAGCATATCCCATAGTTTCCTTATCAGATTTGAGGTCAAGTCAACATTTTGTTCTGGAAATATTGAATGAAGAGGTCATATTTTGAAATTGTCATGTGACAGTTGCAGTTTTCCTGCTTAAACAGGCCACTGCAGGCCACATACACAGTGGGCTGTGTGGTCTAAAGAAATTCTTATTGAATTTTTTCTCAACATATGGCTATTTATAGGAAAAAGTATGTTGTGGAAAAAATTATACATTCAGAATGGGATGTTTAATACAAGTAAAATTTAATTTAAAAAAATTAAATGAGAAAAATAATCCCTAAAGACATTTTAATATCTAAGGTAAAAGAATTTAAACACATGACCATTTCACAATACTTCCATAGAAATGTACATGTGTTAATCACTTAAAGCATGTGACAAAATGTGTTACATTAGCCATGCAGTGCATAAAATCAGACTCTCATTTCATTTTTAAAATAAATGTTTTGTTTTCTGAAACGATGAAAGAGCAGATTTCTTTTTAACTACCCAGAGCGCCAATCTGCATCCATCAGCTGCGTGCTTCACATACCTCTCCCAGTTAATACAAAGGTGCAAGAGAAAATAAGTGATTCATCAAACGGCCCATCTTCTTTCATTGTTCCGTGGCTCATCTTCATCCCACTGTAGGCTTTTTATATCAGTGGACAACACAGTAAGCTGTGACGCACTTTCTTTCTCTCGCAGCCCAAATTGAGGTTTTCATCAATTTCTACTACATTCGCTCTTCTGTAGGATCAGATCGCATGGATCCTCCCCTTATGCACAGCAGTTAACTTTGTGCACACTTGACCCTTCACCATTTATCCTCTTAGACCACTGTTGTCAGCATCCGTCAGTTACCCGTCTATGAAAACATTTTGTGTCCAGCTCATTGGCTGCCCGTTTGCTTGCTGCCACTCCTTGGCATTTCCCAAATTTAACAAGATTATCAGTGTTATTTACTCCACCTGTCCACCTGCCAGTGTTTAAGGTTTTTTTTCTCTTCAAGTTTTAGCAAAAAGCACAGGTGGGACACTGCATCGCTACATTCTCAGAACATATTGTCCCAACTGTCCTTAACCATCTCAGTTGACATAAAGGTGATTCTTTTCTTCCACTTTTGTAAAAAGGCATCTCCTTTAGGCCTTTAGCGGGAAAATCGTCGTCTTCTTTATAAAGATGTTACTCCACCCATTGTTTAAGACCTGGTGGGTCAAGTTTATCCCAGGTCTTTGTTATAGTTTTAGGTAAGAAATATTTTTGCAAAAAAATTTTGACTTTTTAACAACAACAACACCCTCTTTAATTGCTCCAAGGTACAGTACCATGACATCTACTGAAATTTCATAACCTGGCATCTTAGAGCTACACCTATATTCTCCTGAAATACTTGAATTTTACTTAATTTCCAAAATATGTGGGAGTTGTTATGACCACACTGTCTCCAGGATTGCTTGCTTTTAACATAAGGTGTAACAAAAATCAGATGTTTAGTCATTTCCTTGAGCTAGTTGATGTCTCCTCAGCTGTTTCTATGTTTATTTTGTTTCCCTGTTTTGTTTGAATGTAATTGGTATCATTGAGTTTCCGTTTCCTTGATATAATTTAGAGATAATTGTCCCGTTAATCTGTTTATGTGCTTCAAACTATCCATCACTGCATTTCCTTTTTGAGACTAATGGTGGTTTTACTGTTGTGGCTGAACACTGTATGTGGTGCCCTGATTGGTTTGCTGATGTGATATTTAATCTGCCTGATTAATATAGATTTGATATTTTCTTCATTTCTAGCCTGGCTGGGAGGAGAGGGTCCACAGTGATGGCAGGGTCTTCTACATAGATCACAGTGCGTATGATGTGTTTAAGTCGAAAACATCTTTGATTAGTACATTAATCTGTTTTCTTGTTAATATATGCTTTTTGATATATTTTATTTCATAGACACAAAGAACACACAATGGGAAGATCCCAGATTGCAGAACGCTGCTATAACTGGACCAGTGAGTATGACTTTGAAAGTTGTTGTTGCTGTTGCTGTTGCTGTTGCTGTTGCTGACCTCCATCCTTTGGTGATTACAGGCAGTGCCTTACTCTAGAGACTACAAACAGAAGTATGACTACTTCAAGAAGAAGCTGAAGAAACCGGTGAGCATCCTCAAAAGCTCTTACTGATTGTAGAGATCGACCTGACACACTGTGATATTTTATACTTAGAAGTGTTTATTGAAGTGACACACATGTATGTTTCGGCACCCGGCTCCTCGACTTTCCAGTTGGTTGTCAGCACACACACTTCCCTCTGCTCTCCAGCTTTACTGTTTATAAAAGGCAGAAGCCTCATTAGACAGATCCCCACCACCTATCTCTCCAGCCTCCTTGGCATTGCCCCCTTGACCACTTTTCCCCTGCAGCTGACCCAGGGATACCACCTCCGCCACACTGATTTTCAACATAACTTCTTAAAGGTAACCGAAAACTCACCACTGTGCTTTTGTTTTGTTTGTTTTTTAAATGTAGGCGGACATCCCAAACCGCTTTGAGATGAAGCTGAAACGAAATGCAGTGCTGGAGGACTCATACCGACGCATCCTCTCGGTCAAGAGGCCAGACCTGTTGAAGGCACGACTGTGGGTGGAGTTTGATGGAGAAAAAGGACTGGACTACGGTGGCGTGGCCAGGGAGTGGTTCTTCCTAATGTCCAAAGAGATGTTCAACCCGTACTACGGGCTATTCGAGTATTCCGCCACGTGAGTCTTTATTTTTGTATTCACTTGTTGTTACTTGTAGTTTTCCCACTTTTGGAAATTTTTAAGCAATTATATGTTGCACGAGTGATGTGCATCCTCTACACTGACAGCTAAAATGTGGACAAAAAGATGTCAGTGCTTGTATTTACTTCAAATCCAGGACTTCTGTACAGTTCCCAAGATCGATATATTAAATCACTGCTAATTTCAATGTGTCTCTGTGAGGTAACGATGTTTGGGATGATGTATTTTTGTTTAAGGGGGCATATTTACAGGTCATTATGCTTTATTAACCTTCATTTTCACTGTAAATAGGAACTGGTTGAGTCCTGTAGCAGCATGAGTGAGTCAGGGGGAGTATGACAGATAAGAGGCTGACAGGAAGCTAGTGGGATAAGTGTAAAAAGGGGGGGCTGATGCATTCAAGGGAAAAGGAGAGGCTAATTTTAAAGCGGTGGGGAGATGTACTACGAATTTTGAGCAATGCGTAAACCTGGGGGTTTATGCAAAAAGCAGCCACAGGCATGGGAGTCTTCAGCCACTCCCAGATACACAAAATGACACAGAGCACGTTCATACCAGGGAACAACAGAGAAACACAGGAAGAAAAAAAAATAGAGCTGACACACACACACAGAGGAATGAGGGAGAGGTGCTGCAGACATTTACACACAAAAGGCAATCGAAACTCTCTTTGGCTGTGAAAATGTGGGCTGAAAAAAGTTTCAATCAAAATCTCCAACCCTGGTGATACGAAGCACATCAAATAACTGTGGTATATGTTACAGCAAAGGCCTGGACCAGCTCTCTAAGGGCATTTTCACAGCTGTAGATCATTTATCCTGGCTTGAATCAGCTGATGATTTTGCACAAGCTTTTCCCTGTGATTTGGCTTCTTTTCACGCAGAAAAATCCAGGTGAACCAAAATGTGTCACTACAAACCATGTGAGAATGTTCAGTCCGGCTATCTGGGCTAGGATCCACAAAAGTAGTAATTGTTCCTACTAACATTTGGTGCTGTGGCTTGTTGACCTGTGGGAAGATTGGTGGTTCAATGCCGTTTTCCACGACCTTTGGCAAGATACTGAACCTAAAGTTGTGAGAGTGTGAACATCAGGTTAAAAAATGCTATTGTATGAATGAATGACACTTGTAGACAGAAAGCTCCGAGTGTTCAAATTGAGTAGAAAATTCTATGCAAGTACTACTGCATTTACTAAAGACACTTTCCTGATCTGCCTTATGTTTTAGGGACAACTACACACTGCAGATTAACCCCAACTCAGGTTTATGCAACGAGGACCACCTGACCTACTTCAAGTTCATCGGTCGCGTGGCAGGCATGGCTGTGTTTCACGGCAAACTCCTCGATGGTGAGTGTCACATGGCTGCTGAAAATGGTCAGATATTTTAAGAGCTCTTCATGTAGCAGCAGGAAGTATTTTTATCTGAAGAAAGTGAAAAAATTACCTCACTCTCTTTCTTTGTGTGTTGTTGTCTGCGCTTTATTGTTTGCATTTTGGTAACTTTTCTGGGTGTTTGTGCATGGTTCTGGGTAGGAGTCCCTCCATTTGAGGCTGCTGGCTTTCTCAAGTTGTTTTTACCTCCAGCTGTAAAAGGATGATGGGGTATTGCCAACCACCTGTCTAGTATGGTGACGATGTGGACACCCGTGGCCTTGAAAATCCAATGTCGTCTTGTTCTCAAGATAACTTGAGATGGGATTTCCAAATTCATCAGATAGGGACATCTACTAAAATCTCAGACGAGTTCAAATCTCGGTGACCACAATGTCGAGGTTTCTCAGATTTTCAGGGTCACGTCTCAACTTTTCTGAAAATCACCTAGGATTTTCACCAGGATTTTTTACCGTAGGTTCATCTTCAGGTTGAGAGGTCACACTGGTGCCACAAGGTTTTTATAATTTGAGAAAGCCAACAGAGGGGACACTCGAAACAGATGACACAGTGCACTCCAGAGTGGTCAGCTTTGCCAAAAAGCAAAGAATAAAAGAAAAAAGCTCTTTGTAACATACATACTTGATTTTTATTTCAGCTCGGTGGTAGAGTCTGTCCTCACTGCTCTCCTGTGCTCTGTTTCACCCACATTAACTCTCACTAACAGTATGCGTAACAGAGAGAGTAAAAGTAACAAGAGGAAGAGGAGCAGGAAAACACACTTACAATCAGCTGACTATAGTTAGCACGTGTGTTTGGAAATGTAAATGGAAGAGGGAGGCATGTTTGGTTTGATGGGAGCTGCTCTTGTTGCACCTTTTTAAAAACGTCACCAGTAAATATCTTTGTAAGTGTTTGCGTATTTGTTTACTTCACAGCTTTCTTCATTCGGCCCTTCTACAAGATGATGCTGGGGAAGCCAATCACCCTCCAGGACATGGAGTCTGTTGTGAGTATGACTGTAGTAATTATTGCATTGGTGTGATTCGGGATCTTGGATGTCATGTAGATCATTTTCAATTAAATGTCTTCTTTTCTTTTCAGGACGGTGAATATTTCAACTCCCTGAAGTGGATTTTGGAGAACGACCCAACGGACTTGGACATGAGGTTCACTATTGATGAAGAGCTGTTTGGACAGGTCTGCTGAACGTCCTTGTTTTTTGTCCCAACATTTAATTTGTGACGCGGCTTTGTGTCTCTCTGACTGATGCTTCATTTCTTACACCACCACCTGTTCAGACTCACCAGCATGACCTGAAACCCGATGGCTCAGAGATTGTCGTCACCAATGAAAACAAGGATGAATACATCCAGTAAGAAAAATGCTTTTACTTTGTTTTGTTTTTCTCAGTGTGTGTGTGTAAATGCAGTTTGATGCTGACATGCCGTTTTGTGATTAACAGCCTGGTGATTCAGTGGAGGTTTGTGAACAGAATACAGAAGCAGATGACTGCCTTCAAGGAGGTAAACAGTGGTTTTGTTTTTTTAAACTTGCTAAACACGGTACGGGTATTAAAGACACACAAAGGAATAAAAGTCTGGTATACTTTGTGTTTTAGGGCTTCTTTGAGTTGGTACCGCAAGATCTGATCAAGATCTTTGATGAGAATGAGCTCGAGGTGAGTTTTTAGCTGATCCAACTAGCAAAAAAACCCCAAAACTGTTTCTCAGGGATGGAAAATGTTCAGTGTATCTGCTTTGTTTTCCTCCACAGCTGCTCATGTGTGGTCTTGGAGATGTGGACGTGAACGACTGGAGAGCGAACACAAAGTATAAGAACGGCTACTGCTCCAACCACATGGTTATCCTGTGGTTTTGGAAGGTGAGACAAGTTTCCATACCTGTGGCTAATAATCTGCAGCTGGGGCAGGGAC